TCAGAACTCATCTGACTTTTAAAAGACAGCCAAAGAATGTGATTTTGATTCTAAGCAGGCCTACTGTCCATAACATCCACTAGATATTAAACCTAATTCTGCTGCTTCTCATTCTGACTTGTTTTAGACAGAACTGAAGAAACATTCTCACTTGCAATCATTTCAGCTCATAAAAGTCAATGTCTAGCCACAGCAAATGTCTGCTACCTGAAGCACTGGGCAATAAAACCATTAGCAGCAGTGATCATGTCTGCAGACGGTCTAGTTCTAGAAAACATGGATGCATGTCTATGTATATTTTTTGAAAATAAACCCTAGAAAGTTTAGTGATTTCTAGAAAGCCACTGAATATACATACTAGGGGAAAGAAAACTTTTGAGAAAACCTTAAGGATCACAGTGTTGAAGTAAGTAGATTAGTGTGATCACCTGACTCCATTCAGCCAATTATGGGCAATTCTCTGGATCAGAAAAAAGTAAAGAGGGCTGTAAGTGTTGGTGCTCAGAAAATGACACCCCACAGTGAAGGCCTTAACTTCCTGCGTTCTATCTCTCACCTATGATTCTCCCTCAAGGCGAACTATGGAAACTAGAACTTCTCTAGGTCATAGAAACCAGAGCTCCTCTTTCCCAAAGCCAGCCAAAAAACTAAAAATAGTACTCCAACTTTCCCCACCTATCTGTGCAAGAGTTGGCTATAAAGATATCCTCTGATCTGTCTTGTTTAATTATAGGTCATTAGCCCCACCCCTCCTTTCAGAAAAGGTCCTGCCCCCTACTTGGAAGGAAAAAATGCTACAACTAAGGTGCCAAGAAAAATCTGAAAAACAGTCTTAGCAATTTTCCCTCCCTTGATTTGTCATAATGAGATCATGCCCTTTTTGTGCAATCATATTGCTACATGGCTGTCTGCAAGCATAAAATGTTATAGGATGTTGGCCATAGCCATTTACGATGGGCAGGAAAGAGATTATCCCCATCTTAACCCTACAGAAGCACATCTGGAAGGTCACCACTAAAGCTATTTGCCCCACAACAATCAATCCATCACCTACCATTTTTGTCATATTACTCTACCTCTTGAAGGTTTGCCATCCTGAGACTGTTATTTAATGCAACCATCTCTGGAAAGTATTGCACCTGAGGCCATTATTTGGAAAGGACCAATGCATAATCATTTGTGAAAACAGAGCACAGACGTGGCAGGCAGTACATAGGGTGAGATTGCCAAAGGCAAAGATTAAATCAATGAGGAGGAAGTAGGAAGTCACCAACTTTTGCCTTCTTTCCTATTTAGCCAAGGACTATTTGGGTTCAGGAGGAAATCTGTCATTCTCTCTAGTGTTCATATGTTGTTTTTAAACTTCCATGCAAATTTTTCAACTTGGCAAGTTATAACATGGGAGTCTTCCGTTCTATCCTACAGAGACCAGAACTAGAGGAAGAACTGCCCTTTCTATGTTATACTTTATGTGAAATGAAATTGCCTACTTCAGTACTTTGGATTGTTTGGGATAGGTTAATAGCCTATTTTTCTTTTTACCTTCTTCTTGCTATTAAATTAGATGGAATGCTTTGTGTAATAATTGGTCCATAATAAGTGGTTAATAAGCATCTTCCCTGGACTCAGTGTATTTGCACCCTTTCACTGTGATATCAACACACAAAAAGTTCAGATAGATACACTTATACTAATAAATAACTAGAATGTGAAGGCCTATGAAATCTCAACAAGGTCAAGAGACTGTACATTGCTGACCTTCCAGAAAGCCATGCTGGTCATGAAGCCTACATTTTTTTTCAGAGGTAATTGCTACTCCCACTTCTATGATGATTCCCTTCACTTTTATCTCTTCTAAGATGTACAAGCTCTTGGCTGTTTTTTGGGAGAGAGAGAGAGAGAGAGAGAGAGAGAGAGAGAGATCTATATGTTTCTAAATTGCTAGGCAATGTCATTTAGTTTTTTCTCTTCCTGTGACTTATAAGTGGAATTACACTATGTGCCTAAGTTCACCATCCAGGTTATCACATACCACCATAGCTGTCTCCACTGCCTGGCATTCCAGGATATATAGATGGCACAATTTCAATCCATTCTCATCCTAATAGATATTTGCATGTATTAGTCACTTTTCTATCACTGGGATAAGATACCCAACACCAACACCACTAGAAGGAAAAGAGGTCTATGTTGGCTCACTTTGTTTAGAAGATTCATTCTATAGTCAGCTGGCTCCACGGAAAAAAAACAGCATGGTGAAAGGGCCTGGGTGGAGGAGAGCTGTTCAACCCATGGCAGACAGGAAGCATCGAGAGAACAGAGGACCAGGAACAAGAGAGCGCCCTTCTGGGTCACGGCTCCAGTGACCACCTCCATCCAGGCCCCACATCCAACAGCACATTCAGTGACAAACTCGTCAAAGGGTAAGGTCACCAATGCATACAGCTCTGCCATGATCCAATCATCTTGCACACACAGGAGAACTGTGTGGGACTTTTTAGATCTAAACCACAATACCGAGTGTTTTCTAGATTCAGGTTTTTATCAACAATAGCCCCACACATGCTGTCTATGTGTCCTCATCCATGGGTTCACAAGTGTCTCTAAGGTAGAGGGGGATGGATGACTGGAAATGCTGCTGAGTCACAAATGCAGATCATCACCTCTCAAGTTCAATAACGTGGAATACTTCAGTTTTCTCAAAGTACTTGTTTCAATTTATACTCCCATCACTAGTGAATGAGAATTCCTACTGTTCCACAGCCTCACCAACACACAGCATCAGCAGACTTCTTAAGTTTTGTCATTCTGGAACAGAGTATAGTGATACCTCTTTGTGCTTTTTAATTTTTTTCCTCTTTGAGGTTTAATTTATAAAGCCTGATTACTAGTGGGTTTGGGAAACTCATTGTATGTGTATTGCCCTGAGTCCAGAATCTTGAAAACTTAAATAGAAATTCTATTAATTGGTCTTGGGTGTTCTGAATGCTTAATGTCATACTGGTAAGTATTGGGGCAACAAAAGAAATCATTCATTGAAAATCAGTATAAAGCTATATCTCATGCCTTGGTCCTGTTTAACCTTTCTAATAACCACTGGGTCTGATGCTGTTGTCTGTGCTTGGAAACTATGGAAATGGAGACAGAGAAGTTATAAAATTTACTCCAAAGTAAACACTCCACTTTAAGTATAATGAAGCAATAGAACTGGAACTCAAACCATATTTATATGTCTCTAAACCCTGAAGTCTTTCGGGAATCATGTTTCCTCCCGAAAATAGTGTGTGCAGTGGCAAAATAATATTCTTAGTTCTTTGGTAATTGTTGCTGCCAAAAACTATATCAAGTGAGGTTCAATGGTAGCCTGTTAAGTATGACTAATTAAATTACTGCATCCCTCGGCCAATTTTTCCTTTAACACTCGAAAATCCAGGTCACAAATATTTAAGAGTCTGTCATAACTGGAAGGATTTCCTTTGTGGGAATAATTTGTGGGACACTTTCATCACGTGTTCATTTTCAGCCTGTGACAAGCATGTGTGAAAAGATGAGCACTCTACTGCAGAGCTACAGAATATGAAATGACAGCTGGAAGTAAAAGTAATAAAAGATGAGAGCAATACAAACTGCTCACTAAGAGACACATCTTTATATAGGTAATCAATTTATTAGGACATGCAACAAATTCAAACAACAGACACTTTAAAAATTAACTTAAACCCAATTAAAGGATAAACATCAAGCAAACCTCCTAGGAATTTATATATTAATGGTGCTCCCCTCCAACTCTAAAAGTCTAGAGAAAAGTCTATAAATCCTGCACATACTGAAATAATTTTCAAATAATAAAATTACCAGAAACAAAGACATAGGGATGACATTGCCCAGAATATTAAGAATAACTCTCAAAACAAGAGTAGCATGCTGTGTATGATTCTCCTCCTCCTCCTCCCCTCCTTCTTCTTCCTCTCCTCCTCCTCTCCCTCCGTCTTCTCCTCCTCCTCCTTCTCCTTCTTCTTCTCCCCCTTCTCCTCCTCCCCCACTCCCCCTCCTCCTCTTTTCTAATATCTTTCCTCTGCAGTTCTGGGGATGCAATCTAGGGTCTTATGCATGCTAAGCAAGTGTTCTATCATCTAGCTATGTCCCAAGCCCTTCCTCTCTAGCAGCTTTATAAAATAACTTTTCAATAAAATCTTCCCCATGATGTGGTGATACGTAGCTTTCTCACCAACAATTTTAAACTTTGTGTCTGTGGATATAAGCCTCACATTTATCCTACACCACAGAAACGGAGAGTCAAAGCAACTTTATTACCTAGTTCTACACTTCTCACATGTTGTGGGGTTCATTATTTTTTACTGTATTTCATGAGACAATTGCTTGCTAGCAAAAGTGCTAGCACAGCATGTACTTTTTAGTTGTCAATACACCACCATCCTCTCTTGAGCCACCAATTGGCTATAAAGATTTAAAGGTTCAGTGATTATAGGATTTAAATGATTTTAACCCCTTTAAATTTGGAAACCCTTTAAATCCCATTATCTCTGCAGCCACTGCGAATTTGAAAATCAGCTTGGCCTTTTCTAGCTCAAGGTCTAAGGATTACAGAGTTTTAAAGAGTGCAAATGCTTTTCTGAAGTTCTATAAAGAGCTGGCCCCAACCAGTCAACCTACAGGAAATAAAGCCAGCCAGTTCCCCAGCTGGTAAGTGCTGATCAGAATTTCTAAATGGAAAGATATGTGTGTTATGCCACAAACCACCAGGAAAACAGGTAATTGCTTCCTTGACTCCATATGGAGCCAGTGAATTGAAAGGTTTGATTTAGGAGAGGCAGCCTATTGTAGACCTAGGTCTGTAAGTGTCTAAGATGAGAAAACAAAAGTTGCTATCAGAGACCCAAAGAAGCTCTCTGGGTAGAGTAATTCAGTGAGCTGGAGGCCATCTTGTTCCAAAGCAAAGCCGTTACCATGGATACCCTCTGAATCCTCTGAGGTCTTACCTCTTGTGTCCTCACATTGATGTATCCATAGTGAGTTCGAAGGGGCCGCCTGTATGTATAGGAGAATGGTATCCACTTGGTTCCGGGTTGTCCAAAGCAGTTTAGTAGCAATGGGAAATTCACTTCATTTACAAGGCGCACAACCAGCAGGAAGAGGAGTGCTGCTATGAAGCTCACCGCAATCACAGATTTTCTCTGCAAACATTAAAAAGAAAAGAATGACTTTTAACTAAAAACAGTCATGGAGGGAGGTTCTTTTTCTTTTCTAAGAAGAAAGGATTTGTCATGTAGGATATTTCACTTGGGGATGGAAAAAAATCACTAGGTGACCAGGCTGGCTTTGTGTGCTGGGCATCTGAGAGTAAGCAAAACAGTATTTGTGGACTTTTCCACTTTGTCTCTACCCTTTTTCACCTCTCTATTTTTCCTGCCACTCCTGTTTGGTTTGGAAAACCCAAGCAAGACACTCCGAACTACAGGAAGCCTTTCCACATTACTCCACCTCCTCCCCACCACCTCTCCACCGGAATAGAGGGAAGAGGACCGTTCCCACACTCAACTTTGAAGGCATATCTGTTGCACTTATTCACCATGTGATTTCTCCTCCATGTAACTGTGAGTTACTGAAGAACTGGGAGGTTCTGCATCGTATTACTGTCTGTATCCCAAGGTCCCTAATACAGTACCTTACATAGTACCAGCACTCAACAAACACTTGAGTGAAATAAATGAATTAATGCATTTTTCTCATCCATGTAGTCCAATATCATTATCATTCATGTTTCTATTTTTGTGTCTAGCACCCTCTATGGGCAGGAAACTCTACCTGTACTGAAAGGGGTGCAAAAGTAAGGTTCGAAATGCTAACAATAAAAGAAGGAAAAATGTGATGCCAAGCAGCATAAGAACGTGTCCCTAGACGTGCTGCTATGAAGTAAAAGCAGGAGCAGCCTCATCTGATTGGGGTGGGAGCAGGTAGAGATGTATTTGAGACTGAGCATGACAAAATGCATGAGTTTTAGATGGTAGAGATGTGTGAGCAGAAGTGACTTTCTAGGTAGAAGAATGAGACAAATGAGGAAAAGCTGGAAGCATAAACTATGTACTTCCTCAGACACCAAGATAAGAAGGCCCCATGGAGTTTCCTACGTGAGGGAAAGTCAAAACAATTGTTTGGGTTGTTTTGTTCTGCTGAACATAGCAGTTGTAAGTTATAATCAAACATCAGTGTTAAAAATACCTTGTAGCAGGGAATGAAGAAAAGTAAGTAGTGACTAGTTGGAAGACTAATCCAGTTGCTCAGGACAGAGGTAATGAGGATGGAAACTAAGACAGAAAAAGGTGAAAAAAGACAGGAGAGGCTCAAATTAGATAAAGGCTTAGAACTGGGCTACCAGTGGGACCTACGTGGCAGATAATAAAATTCAGAGGTGATTGAGACCTTAAGCTTAAGTGACTGCAGTCATCCTGGTCTTCACAGGAGAAACTGAAATGGTGCAAGCAGGATTTCATCAATGACACAAAGAAGATAAAGCCTTTGGTTTTCTAGGCTTGCCGGTTGTCAGGGACTGGCAGTTCATCTTAGTGGAACCATCCTGGAGACAAGAGGAAGGTCCAGAAAGAGCAGAACCGAGCTGAAGACCCAGTGAAGTACTCCATGAAGTTGTGCTTGACTGCCCTGTCCTCTCCACACTGAAGGAAAGCCAGACAACTGTCTGAAAATCACTGAATGGTTGTGGAGTTGTGGTTGTGGTTGTGGTTGTGGTCATGTTTTGTGTTTACCACTTCCTGTGGGATTGGCTTCATTTTCCTCCTCATTGAATCTCCCAAGGAAGAAAAGGAACTCCAAGACAGTCCCTGTATCTTTCCTAGTCTGGGATCACCACCTCTGTGCAGGCTGTAGAACCAGAGTCCAAGTCACAGACATCTGGAGAAAGTCTTCATTCTCACTTGGCTCCTGAAATTTGTGAAATCTGCATTCCTCTGTCTAGCCAGCCTAATTTTCTAATCACCTGAAAGTCCCCTGAGCTCTGCCTCTTTTAAAGCCCTTATCTCACCACTAACTACCACAACCTTTCCTCATTTAACCTTCTAATCATGAAAAACCGTTTTAATTTGCTTCTCTGTGGAATCATTATGTCCACAACGCTGCAATGTGTCAAGGTAACAGCTTAAATAAAGTGATGGATCTTACATGTTTAAAGGGACACAGACCAGAACAGATGGCTAAATAAAAGCAAAGAGACCAATCACCCATTAAGTAAACAGGTAAGGACCTTTTTTTTTTTTCTTTTGCCATCCAGGGCCTTGTTACGAAGCAGCAGCTTGCTTTGAAGGAGACCCAGATGGAACTTGTACTTTTGTCTGTTCCGGAGCCCAGCATGGCTCTCTGGTTCTCTCAGTTGCTGCATCGCCTTGCATGGCTGGGGGTTGGGGGACAAAGGCCTGGGGGAGCTTTCTGAACATGCTGATGGCAAGTAGCAACACTTATACAATACACACACGAGAGGAACAGAAATCAACCATTTTGAGAGAAAATTCAAAACAGAATGAAATCACAGTTGGAAAAGGCTGAGCCCTGGTAATCCATGCCTGCCTCCTACGTCCTGTCAAAGGAAACTAAGAACTGAGCACAGAAGGTGGGGAGCAGCGGAGACAGAAGCCAGGTGCCCATCCTTCTGTGCCCCACCTGGACGTGGGTTCTGCAGTGGGCAGCGGTACTTCTTGCTTAGGTCAGACCTGCTGCCCAACTGCTGTTGTGTTGCCTGGACTGGATTCTTTGCTTTTTTTGCTTAGTGTGAAAATGGTCTCATTGTGCTGATGATGTCTATCTTGAAATTTCACTAGAAATCCATAACTTTAGACTGGACTTATAGCTCAGTGGGAGAGTGTTTGCCTAATACGGACAAGGCCCTGGGCTCAATCCTCAGCGCTGGAAAAAAAAAGTATAACTCTGAGTATATTCTGTGCACCAGAAGATGGCAAGGACAGAACTCAACATAAATGTGCAGTCTCCTAGTAGTCACTTCTGCCAGATGATTACCTTGGGCAATTGCAGTGTCAACCATGAATAAGGCTCTTAGAAGTCTACTCGCAGCAAAGTGGAGAGAGAGGGCAGAAAAAGAGACAGAGAAACAGAAACACATATAGAGACAGACAGAGAATGTGTGTTTGTGGTAGGAATGTAGGAGGTGCAGAAGTGAACAGAGGATTCAGACAAATGAGCTACATGGATATACTCACAGTGGTCAAGTTGCACTTGTTCATTGAGCCTATACCAAGTGCTGAAAAACTGAAGATCAAGTACTGAAAACAGAAATAAAACCATACCAAAAAGACCACCCTTCCAGAGCCACAAGTTAGTGCAGCCAGCAGTAAGCAGAGAAGCACAATTCCATGCGTCAAATGAAGTTAAGGGATATGTGGGATTCCGGAGGAGGACTGGGTCAGGGATTGTGGGAGGGATGATTGTGGGAATGCCCATTTGAGGTGATGGTATTCATACGAAGGGCAGTTAGCAAAATGAAGACAGGAAACATTCCAGGGAGAGGGAAGAGCGATTTCACAGCCCATGAAACGATCAGAAACTTTCATGTCACTTGGTACAAAGGGAACATAGATGGTGTAGTGGGAAATGATGCTAGACAGAGTTCAAATCATGAAACGAAACTAATCAGCCAAATACACTGAGATGCAATTATCTACCCTATCTGTTTTACATTAAGGTAATGAAAGGAAAATGTTTCAAGTGCTACATTTCATAATTCTAAAATACTCTCCACTTTCCTATCAAATGAAAACTGCATTAATCACTTCATTTTATTTGAAATTGCCATTCAATACATCACATTGTCTTGTTTTCTGTTATTTGACTTCTTCCATCAATTAATTGATGCCATTAGTGGCTTGTTCTAGTAACAGTTTTGAATCCATCAAAACTCAGAAAATTAGAAGACTACCTGTTTACATCTACGTTCCAAGTCTCACAATTTGTTTACGGAAGTGATCCCTGCAGCATTTACTGAAGTCATCAGAGCATCCTTTAGACTCCAAACCACCATTAGGTTAGAGAAAAGAGCAGCGCGTCCTTGTCAGTTGATAATGCATAAGACTTGGCCCAACACATTTTCATACTGTGCAAACGTAGACATAAACTTAAAAAACACCCATTCCCCTAAGAGCAGAAACGTGAACATGATGATGATACAATGGATGGAAAATACAAAGTACAGTCCAGGCCCAGCGAGTACTGGACAAACAGAAGATATTGTTTTCTAACTGATAAGTGTTAGTCCTTGATGAATAATAGCCTGTGAGTGAGCACTCATGGGCCCATGGGAAATGTGTAAGAACTACAGGAATCTCTTTCCCAAATACTCCAAGCTGCAAACCCTTGAACTGTTCACTGCAACTCATCCATAGGAGCTCTGGAAGAATGCCATCGTACCCAAATAGACCTGATGAACTGCTTTAAGGAACGTTTCCTCCTGCTTTGTGCTTCGTTTGGGGCAAGTCTGAAGGGGCCTCTAACAGCTGAGACATTTAGAATCTAATCTCCTCTGTGCTGCAAAAATATGCATCACAAATGTGACATCCCAGTTGCTTGCTCTTTAGAGTTAGAACATAGCTTATCAGACTTTATAGCAGAAATGCCTATTTTAAAGTAAGACCTACAAAGAATTCACAATTTGGGGAGAAAACAAAATTGCAGCAATTTGGACTTAGAAAATTTGCAAGCAATATTAACGTATATAGGTGTTTATTCTTTCTAAAAACAGAATTAGTCATTAGCCTCAGAATACAGACATTAACTATGAATCTAGTCAGCTGCTAGATCATTTTTAAATTTGTTTTCTCATAATTGATAAGCAACCATATAAAGTTATATTTTTGTATTTAAAGGATACTATGTAATGAGTTGAAGTAGTTGCTTACAAGGGTAAACAGTGTCAAGTTTCATTTATGTAGTGTCATTTATCCAAAATAAATTGGAAATACAATGTGAACTGGATTATTTATATCAGCGTTCAATCACCTTATACACTAATGAGCTCCTATCATTGCTTATTTGTAATCTTCTCACATATCAGTTCCTCTCCCATGTGAGAAATCATATAATCAATACAGATCTACCATGTGGCATTGGCCAAGCTTCAACTTTGGTACTTCAATTATACAATTAATCTTCTTGCCAT